CAAACATATCACTCTGCCCTCAAGAGAACGTGAACACTCTAAAAGGTACAAAATAGCAATCATACCTGCTTTCGTCCCCGAGGTAGAGTAGCCACCGTGTCTGCCAACATTTGAATCCTTCTATTATCGTCCATCGTAAGGCTACCTGTGAGTGTGGAGTAAGAGCTATACGCTGGCCCAGCACAGAAGTCCGCCAAATTGCCATTGCTGCTGTGTTGCAGGAGCCTTTGTAAAGACATTGTGAATAAAGATCACTCCAGCTAGCACATGGTTGAGTGGCCTTGCAGGATGGGGGAAGCTAAAAGTACAACTCTGACAAGTAATCAAAAGTAGCAAAGCAGAAAGAGCCCATGTGACCTCTGTGGTTTGAGGAACTTGTTACACAAACCCTATCTTGCAATTCACTCCCATTTCTCAAAGCTTTTTTTCTTTAAGCTCCTGAGAGAACCTGGAGCTAATTTTTACAATTTAAAAAAAAAAAAAACTTATTTTTTCACCTCAAACAGCGGAACTCTTACACTTTTATGTTTTGTGGCAAGTTGCATTCACACCACCATTTGCCATTTTTTTCTTTAGAGAAGAAAGAAAAATGTCCCCAAGTGCTACCATTTGTTTCCCATCCATTCTCTTATTTAACATTAGCAATGCAAGGCAAAAGTCAGCTCACGAGGACATTCAGTTCTTGTGAATACAGGCAAGAATTACAGGTGCCAGTCATAATGTTCTCTCTCGAAGACCTTGTAATGTACTTTCCCTGAAGTATACCCTAGATCATTAATGTTCATCAAAAAGACATTATATTTGCCACTGGCGTTGTAACCATTCAGCATTCTTCTGGTTGTCCTTTTGCTACTTTGTCCTTACTAAAATTACCCATTTACAAAGTACAATGGGAAGGGAAAGTCAGCACATTTAGGGCACAATGTTGCCATTTCTTAGACAAGACTTTGCAGCAGCATCAGAAAGTGGTCCCAGGGGAGGAAAGGAGTGGGCAGGAAGGTAACAGGCAAACCAAGGTGGCGCAAGAATGTTGCCTGTTGGTCCCTGCATGTGCATATGTGTCAAGGGCACCATCACCACGTACTCAAGATCACAGATGCTTTTTTTTTTTTTCCTTTGGCTGAGGTTGGGGGCAGGTAGTTTTGAGAGAACTGGTTTCAGTGGAGGAGCAGGGGAGGCAAGTAAAAGGAAGAATCGAAACAAAAGTCAACAAGAGAAGTTTTACATGGCACTAAAAGTCAAATGTGCTTTTTAGAGTCTCTGAAGGTCAATACTAGCATTTAAAAGAGTTAGCAAATCTTTGAACTAAAATGGAATGTGTGCGTACTGGAAGTGAAGATGGATTCAACTCAAGTAGAAATTGCCAAATATGAATAGTAAAATCTGAATTAATAGTGCTTCAAAAGTTGAAGCCAATTATAGATTTTAAAAACTCTATCATAGCATGACTCATTATACTGGAATTGAATTTTGACATGGACAAAGTGATATCACCAAAAACATACAACGGTCTAAATCGGAAATTAAAAACACATGTTTTCAGAAGCCAGGTGTGTAACATAAATGTGTAAGGCAAAAGGGAGTGGTAAATACCTTAGCAACTGAAGAATACATCAGTTATAAAGACATTCACGTAAAATCTATAATTATAGATATGTACAGATATATATACAGGTATATGTGTGTGGGGGGGTGTGTATTAGGAAGAGAGAGAGAGAGAGATTGATTTTAAAAACATTTCCAGACTATGAGGCACACAAATTAAATCAACACTATTAATGGATGACAGCAGTCCACTGTACCCTAGGAATTTGATAAAGTTAGGTAAATATTTTTAATATTTAATCTTAATATTTTAAAATGCCAAATGGAAATTATACATTTGCTTAATATAAGGCCACGCACTTAGGCCAACTGACTCACCCATTTTTATAAATGACCACTAAAATTGTATCAATTCATTGTTATACTGACCTTAAGCTGATGTAAATCATAGATCATCATTCAATTAAGAAACTGGAAAATAATTTACTTATTACTTAATTCATGAAATGTGTTTAACAAGTAAAATTTTTCAAATCATGGGATCTCTGGATATAAAACAAGGGTCAAAAGCAGCTCTGACATCCAACCAACCCATATCAACATGGTCACACCTGTTAATTACAAATTTATGACCTAGTCTATTTTGATTGGTCAGTTCCCTGTTCTGTCATTGCCTGTGTCATGCCAGTCACTAATATCCTGATCAAAAGTGTCCCTTGTGATAATGGGTGGAGAAACAGTAATCTTTTAAGGGGGATGTGACTTCCAAACAACAAATCCTTGACTTACAAAGGTGTTCTACTGTTTAGAACATCTCTTTTCTTTTAGGATTTACCTTAGGAAAATTATAATAGATCAGACTCTCTTCCCCTTCAGCCTCCCCTTTATTTTGGAGAGGTGATTCTGGAAATGAATTGGATCAAGCTATCTAGGTACTCGTAAGATTTCAGGAGTATCTCACTGTTCACAAAATAAAATGAAATAAAAATTATTTTGTATTATCTGATTTCATTCTCTGAAATGTCATATCATTTTTTAGATTCTTATTTTGAGATTTAATATATTCTAGTTAGGTCAGTAGTTAGTTGTATACAAGTCTGTTTCTCTGCTAATGTCTAATTTCCTTGAAAGCAAAGAACACCTTTTATCTTTAAATGTATACTTTATGTCCTACATACAAAAATTGTTCAATAAATGTTAATAAAAAGAGAAAGGTGGAAGCAGTAGATATTAAACAAAATGAATTAAACAACAGTGTTCTTGGTATTAGTAAGGAAAAAATTAATTAATTTGGTAGAAAATGTATGTACTACAAGCTCATATTCCAAAGTGCTACAATTTTCACTAAGGGGTGATCTGAGAGATGAGGACAAAGTCTCTTAAAAATACGTCTCATCTGCCATATGCTCTAAAAGCTAATATTTGTTATGTGGGGCATGCCTCTTATTTGGAACATTGTGTTCATAAATATGCAAATACCCTTGGAAGGAATTAATCTTTAGTGCAAATGAGATGAACACTGAGGGCCTACAACATGGAGATTTGGTAGAGTCAGGTGAGAGGAATATGCCTAAAACATGGAACAGGGAAAGAAAGGTGGAGAGGTTTGCAAGACAAACTGAGCCAACCTTATAATCATCTATGAAAATCTTAGGCAGCTGTAAGAGGGTTGACAACAGGGTTCCAGTGTCACACTACTTAGATTCAAATTCTAGCTCTGCTGCTTTAAAGGCTATGGACTGAGTTGTGTCCCCCAAAAATTCATACATTAAAACCCTGAGCTTCAATGTGTCTGTATTTAGAGATAGGGCCTATAAGGAAGTTAAGGAATCATTTAAGATTAAATGAAGTCATAAGGGTAAGGCTGAGATCTGATAAGATTAGTGCCCTCATAGGAAGAGGTGGCAGAGGGCTCTCTCTCCACCAAATGAGAACACAGCAAGAAGGCGGCCTCCTGCAAGCCAGGAAGAGAGCCCTCACCAGAAATCAAATCTGTCAGCACCTCAGCTTGGGCTTCCCAGCATCTAAAACTGTGAGAAAATAAATTTCTATTGTTTAAAGACACGCAGTCTATGGTATTTGTTATGCTATGGTATTGGTTATGGTGGCTTGAACTAATACACTCCCTAAACCTTAGTGTTCACATATCTAAAACAAAAATTTGCAGGGAAAAATAGACAGAATAGCCCACGAATAGCACATGGTATAAAGTAAGCTATGTCTACTGAATTTTGTTTTAAGTAACAAGGCTTCAAAAGGAAAAGCTAAAAAAGGAAATGACATAAATTCTATATGAATAGCCCTATTCATTACCAAGTGCCTCTATGTGCAGCAAGGATGCCCTTGCTCACCCTGGAGAAATCTAAAGGCTACAATACGTGTGAATTTCTTACCATTGAAAATCAAGATGTGTTTGAAAATCATCATCAGAGCCAATGTCTGAAATTTCTGGATTATTGTAAGACACAAAAGAAGAGTAACTGGTTGCTTAAAGAATGAGACTTCCTCTATGCCTTCCTGATCTTAAGATAGTTGTTGAGTTTTTGTTTGTTTTATTTTTGCAGTTTGCCTTTATTTGCACAAGAAGATTTTATTTGGCTTCCTGGAACATCATAGGATTTTGTTTTGTTTTGGTTTGCTAATTTGTTTTATTTTGGCCTTTTGCCTTCATTTGGAAGGGAAGTTTTTATTTGGGTCTCTGGACTGATGTAGGAGATGGGTTAAAGTCACATAGACAATATTTGAATGTTGTGCCTTTGAATCTATATAAGGTAAATTTAATTTAGTAAAGTTATTCTCATATATGAGGATCCACTGACTGTGAAAACTGCTCTGTCCTATGTATCACCTTATTCGAGTGTTGGAGTTGGGTAGACAGACGTCCTCATCCAACTCAGTGTGGATCACTGGGATTATGAACACTACTCCCCAGAGAGTAATAGCCTTCTTCAGAAAACGATAAACGAAAAATCTGTAACTAGGACAAGCCCTGAAAAACAGGCAGCTCAGGAAAGGAAAATAACAGAAACAAAGGTCATAAAGACCCTATGTTAGAAATCTTAGTGTGATATAAGCCAAATACTGGCTTAGAGTTGTGACATGCATATTTAAAACAGCACAAAGAAAAATTTTAAACCTAATATAAATAATAGCTAGCAATACATCAAATCTATTATGTTTTTAATACAAGTGCAAGGAAACAATTTTCTGATTTATTCAAGTTTAATTCAATCAAATCATGAAGCTATGGGTAGATTGCAATATCATTCAAGGGATTAAGCCACTAAATTCAATTTGGGCTTTAAATAGATTATCTAGATCAGTGTTTCATGAAATAACTCAGTAAGATAATGTCAACATTCTTATAGATGTAAAAGTAGACACATTCATTTGGTGCACTTATCACGTAGAAACATCATTAACTGCATTTTTTAAAATTCCATTTGCTTCTTTATTTCAGGTTTAGGGGGAGTACCTTGAGCATGTTGGGCATATGGCAGGGACGGCTCCATGTTGAAGGGTCCATGCTGAAGGTACACAGTAGTACTGGGGCCTCTTGGAAGCAGTCAGGATGTGCGTGGGATTTAAAAGGCAGCTTCTCCGTGGACTTATCCATATATCTATACAAAATGCTCTGTGAATGCATCAGGGTTGTTTTGAGTCTTAAGAGGTAGTCTATGCAATGATTTTAAAACTGTACTCATGAAAATGTAAGATCCTTTGAATGTCCTGGGAAAAAAAGGAAGAAGAGGAAAAAGAAAAAGGCATGAGAGGGGGATTCTGAGATTTTCAGTGCTGCCATCAACCACAGTAGTCGTAATTTCTTTGCTTTATATTGTGTTCCCATTCATGCCACACGATTTAATCGGGTTAAAAAATAAAACTGAATGAAAATACAGGCTTATAGAAAACAGAAAAGACTATTCATATAGAGTGTGAAGAACGGTAGACTATTGGATCCCTCTGTTTAAAAAAAAAAAAAAAAGTGTCAGCCCTCTAATGAGTTCCCCAATTTCTACCAACTATCACCTTTTTGGAGAGATAAAGCCCTAACAGTAAAAATCCCTTTAAAAAGAAACACAAAGTAACCAGGATAACCAATAGTTAAAGGAACCCTAATTCTGGATTTGTTTAAAATTCATTCAAAACAATCTTTTGTTCATTAACCTATTAAGACAAAGGTAGAGAGGGTTTAACTCAACTGGAATGAACAACATTTCTGTACTAAGGCAATTGTCCTATAATATAAAGATGCCTTTCCAAGAAAGATTAAGGCTTTAAGAGAAATATATAGTTGGTTGACCACTTATTACCAGGAGTATTTTCCTTCTTTGAGGACTATTGTATTTTTTTTGAAAAGTAGCTATTTTTATTTTAAAGTCACTTGATTAATAAAATATTTAAGAATATGTCCAATCAAGTTCAAATGTCAAGATCAAGATATAGAGGCATATAGAAATCTACCTGTCTATATAGAGAGATAGATAGATAATTTTCATTTGTTCTATTTTTAACCTGATGCATATATATCTTTATCTTGCTACCATAACAACCATGAAATGAATTATATTAGCCACACCCAATAGAAATTGGCTTCAGTGAAGAGGGCTGTTTCTACTTGAATATAGGAATAATTTATTTTATTTATTTATTCATTTATTTTTTGAGAAGGAGTCTCGCTCTGTCACCCAGGCTGGGGTAAAGGGGCGCAACCTCGGCTCACTGCAAGCTCCACCTCCCGGGTTCACGCCATTCTCCTGACTCAGCCTCCCGAGTAGCTGGGACTACAGGCGCCTGCCACAACGCGGCTCATTTTTTTTGTATTTTTAGTAGAGATGGGGTTTCACCGTGTTAGCCAGGATGGTCTCGATCTCCTGACCTTGTGATCCACCCACCTCGGCCTCCCAAAGTGCTGGGATTACAGGCCTGAGTCACTGCACCCGGTAGGAATAATTTATTGAAATCAGTTCATTCAAATCTATTTGAGTCAAAGAGCATGACCTTAGGCAACAAAATAAAATCACTAAATTTCTGCATTAAAAAGAAATTAAATTCAATGTAATAGATGTCGAAGCCATTAAGATTGATTTTTGCTTTTAAAAATTCCAAGTAAGCTGGGGATAGAAGGAAAAATACCTTAACATAATGAAGAGTATCTACCAGAAATACCCACCCAACATTAACCTTAATATCGAAATGTAAATTTTTTCATTATTGTAAGAAGGAAGACCACGATGACCCTAACCATCATCACTCTTCACACTTTTACAGTATATCACAAATAAAAGGTATAGAATTTATAAACAAATACAACAAAACTGTCATTTTGTTGATTATATGGCTTCATAACTAGATTATCCAGGACAATTCATGAAGAACAAAAACCTGGTAAGAATTTTTCTGAAATATAGCATTCACAAGACAACACACAAATATAAAGAAACAAGTTTCTTATACAGTAGCAGTTATTATGTTATATATTTGTTAATATATTATATTATAATATTATCTTATTACAAAAGAACTTGTAAGAATGGGAGAAAGACACATCAAAATAGCCAAAAAGTCATAAAACAGAAATGAATTTAGCAAACATTTTTAAGATGTTATGAAGAAAATTCTGGAGTCCAGACTAAGGAAAAGGCGTGCCATGTTCTCATATGAGAAGAGCCCATCTTGTAAAGACATTTATTATCCCCAAATGTTCTAAAATAGTTCACTGCAAGTCAAAATCTCTATAGGTTTTGTTTGTTTGCTTGCTTGTTTGTTTCTAAAATTTGACACACATTCTTACACTCATCTGAAAGAGAAACTGCACAAGAAAAATCTGAAAATTTAAAGAGGTAAGAGATGGAGGTAAGGATGGGCATTGGGAAAACTATCTTTAATGTTATATGGGTTAGAACTGTATTGTCAAATGGAAAAAGTCAATAAAAAGAATGTCTATAAATATAATATTATCAAAGAATAGAGACTCCTCAAACATACTCATGCATATGTAAGAATTTATATTTCCATGAAGTCATTCCAGTGTACTAGGAAAATAATATATCTTCCAATAAATAAGACTGGAACTCATTTGAAAAAAAATAAATCTTAGCTTTGTATGATAATATAATAGCAACTTCCAGGTAGCTTAAGGAGTTAAAAGGTAAAAATAACTTAAAATCTATAAAAGAATAGCAGAAAATATAGAATATTTAATATAATTAGGTTGGAATGCTTTTCCTAACAATACATAAGAGCCCAGAAAGCATTAGCTATGTAAAGACGAAAAACTTCTGTTCAATGAAAGCTTTAATGTTCATAGCTGAAAACTAAGTGAAAGATAGCAAGAAATTATTTGTGACAGACAATTGTTTAATGGTTATAATAGAGTGTTTAAAATTATACTTCTCAACAAAGTATTTTTAAATAGCAAAAGCTATGAACAGATAATTTACAACTGAAATACAAATTGTTGATAGATTTATTAAAGGAACTCACCCTAATTAGTAATCAGGAAAGCAAAAATTGAAATAGATACTCCTTTTTGCCCACCAAATAAACAAAAATAATAAAAGTTAGTGATGTCCAGTATTGGCAAAATTGCAAGTAAGTGAGCACTTAAACTCTTCTGGTAGGAATACAAATCAATAAAGACATAATAACAGTGAGGTAATTTGACAGTATCAAAATTTTAAATGTGCAACATGTAATGTGTTACACTTTTGACAGTTAATGGCAGAGAATCTTCTTTTAAGAATTGGCCCTTAGTGCCGGGAGCAGGGGCTTACGCCTGTAATCCCACACTTTGGGAAGCCGAGGTGGATCACATGAGGTCACGAGTTCGAGACCAGCTTTGCCAACATGGTGAAATCCATTTCCACTAAAAATACAAAAATTAGCCAGGTGTGGTGGCAGGTGCCTGTAATCCCAGCTACTCCAGAGGCTGAGGCAGGAGAATGGCTTGGACCCAGGAGGCAGAGGTTGCAGTGAGCCATGGTGGAGCCACTGCACTCCACCCTGAGTGATGGAGCAAGACCCTGTCTCAAGAAAAAAAAAAAGAGAGAGAGAGAATTGACCCTATGGAAATACTTCCATATGTGCAAAAAACAATCCAAGAATGATTCTTATGGCATTGTTTGTGATTACAAAAAACCGGAGTTTTAAATTTACGTTAATAGGGAACTGGTGAGATAATTTATGGTAATTTAATTCAACGGAATACTTTGCACCCATTAAAAAGCATACAATAAACATTAACATGCTGATAAAGATTTTTAAGACAAAGTGGAGAAAAAGGTGGAATAATAGGTATGGTGTGATCCCATTTATACTTTTTCCTTAAAGTTCACATACGTATATGTACACTAACATGTGTAGACATAAAAGACTAGAAAGATATATACCAGCCTGTTAATAGAAAAGTGGTTACTTCTTGAACCATTGTGGGAGAAGATGGGGAGGAAAGTTCAAAGTGTATGCCAGTATGGCTTGAATCTTTTATAGTAAGTATGCATTCATATATTATTTGGTCAACTTTAAAAATACCAACAATTCAAAAAGAATTATAAAAAACCAATCACATACAGTTCATAATGTCTTACGGTTTTAAAGGTCCTCATACTTCTGTTTATGCTTACCAATGAGAATTATTGGTTTATCCACTGGCTGTTTGGTGTTTGTTTACAGGCTAAGATTTTATTTTGCTTAATGTGATTTTGTTTTCATTCTTTGAGGCAATTCTTTCATATTTCTTTATCTTTTTTTCCTCCTCAAAAAGATCTACTGAAGTCTCCATAAAATAATATAGCAGCAGAGAGGAGCCATGAATTTTTATGGTGGTAAAGGGCATTGGTGTGTTCTTTTGAAATTCACTTTCTAAAGTGGCAGTTGTCTAGTGTCAAATTCACTTATTACCCCTACCCTTCTCTACCACATACACAGTTCCATTTCGAAATCCAAATCTTTTATCAAAATTCAAGGTAAATAAGTGACAGAGTTCCTTCCTCTTCCCTTACCTAGCATCCTGCGTCACACTCAGTGCTTGGCTTTTACTTAATCTTCACTCTTGCCCAATGGGTGTGGACAGGCAGCCCCACAGAATCGACAAGGGCTTCAGGGCTGTAGAAAGTAACTTCTTAGAAAGCAAGAAACCTGTTTGGGGACTGGAATTTTGTGTAATACTTGGAACAACAAAACACCCACATGAAATCTAGGTGATTTTCCCCGGAGCTTTGAATAAAATCCAAACTCCTTACTCTATCCTGCAAGGTCCTGCATGTTCTGGCAGATCCTACAACTTCATATTAACCCAGTCACACTGGCCTTCCCTCTGTTCCTCTGGCAGGAAGCAATTCCTTCTGAGGGCTTTTGCACTCACTGCTTCTTCTGCCCAAAACACTGTTCCCCTTGGCCTGCTTCATTTGTCTTCTCTCTCTTTCTCCACATCCCAGTTCAAATATTACCGACTAGGGAAGTCCCAACTCAACCCATTGAATAAACGTGATAAGCCACATCCAGATGTGGATGGACGAGTTCCAGGGAGAACTTTCACCTTAGTGTTCCCCAAATAGACCCTCCTCCAATCTGCTTACCATCTGGAACTGCCTGGATTAGCTCTGCCACCTATAGGGGCTTGTCTTTGAGAATGGTAAGTGGATCAGCAGAGAAAGGTCAGCAGGCAACAGTTGCAATGTTCCTCACCTTCTCCGCTTTTGTTTTCAGAGTCTAGAAGGTTATGTGTG